TTATTTCTAAATATCAATAATGTATATACATATATAGTGTATAATAATTGAAATGTGACTGTATTTTACAAAAAATAGTCTACTAAAACACAGCCAATACAGGTCACTTTGTAAAGACTAAAGGTCAGTTTTATATTATTGGGTACAGTAACATATGCACATGTACCACATCATTGTAACTTCTCTATTGTTAGCTATGCATAGCTGAAAGGTCAATAAAATAAAAATAATAAATATATATAAATGTATAATGTTATGAGATTTAAACTACTTAGTCTAAACATTTATGTCTTTGTGTTATAATTTATAGTCATTCAAGAATGAAAGAGCATAATTTATCTTTATTTCTAACTTTTTTATGGTGGTTACGAGATTGGTCAAATTGACCATACCCGTACAGAGATTCGTTACTGAAAATAACAGATAAAATATAAAGTTTTTCTCATAAGAAACTTTTGATAACTATCTGGACATTATAAAGATTTTGCATGTGAAATTTGAACATTTTCTGATGCACAAAAGTATTTTTAATCTTAAAATGAAAATTACTTTGTATGTTGGACAGGCAACATGTGAAAAAAAAAGCACAAGGGAAGCACTGCTTTACAAACCTTAAGACTTAATAAAAAAAATTATATTTTGCATATGAAAGCTTTGTAATGTTTACTAATAACCTACCAAAGTTTGTTAACATATGATTACTAATTTAAAATTTATAGCATTAAAACTATAACTAGCACAAAATGGTTACAAGGTCAGTCCCAGGGACCGAGCACTTGCAGTTAATGCATCATAATATCTCATAGTGTATAGAGAGTACTAGGCCTTGGTCAGGCTATAAATATGCATACAAAATGTAGTTCAAGTTAGTAAGACCAAGTTAGATATAGCTAGACCTAAACTGAATGATTATGAATTCAATCATAAATAGAGTATAGTGGTGATTTCTAAACTGACATTATTACAGATTGTATTTTAACAACAGAATAAAGAAGAATCTGTTTTGTCAAGTGTGTTTTACAGTAACTGAACTAACCTGTGATGACTTTGAAAAGTTATTTAAAGCTCTGGATACAACTGTGATAACTAACAGTGTAAAAAAACACTTGTATATAAGTTTGACTTGTTTTAATATATTATTTTAAAACCTGTGGATGGTGAGCTGTTTGTTTATTGTTGAAATTTATTGTCAACAAATCACTGTAAAGAAACCAGCCCATACATAAAACCTTACATTGATAGCAACTCAAGAACGAGATAATCATTGTAAGATAAATATAAATCAACAAAACAATGTTTGACTAGTATAATCTACAAATACTTACATGTACAAGATGTACCACTGTTACAGCACCAGCTCAAAGAGTGATAATAATGACCACACTGAACATCTTAAACTAATTTTTTTAATGAGATTTTCATGCCATACTATAGTTACTAGATATCTCACACTTTCTAAAACTTTTTTTCATGAAAAAACTGACAATGCTATTAATGTAGAAAATATACATCAACAGGCAGTACCCATGATAATTTCACTAAGGTAAAGCTTAACAAATCATTATATAGTAAAAAATTCAGTCTAAAAATATAAGAATGAAAATTAACAAAAAGTCAGCTATAGGGTTGATATTGTGATGTAGAATATTTCATTAGATGTACAATTATTGTTGTTAAAGCACCAGATTTAACACAATGAATCCATTTTCTTCCATTTTAATGGCAAAAATATTAGAATAGCTAAGTTTCACTTTTGAAGATTTTGCACATCAGTTTCTTTCCATGTGGAATTTTGTCCTGAACTGGTTTAAATTAATTTAAATGCTCAAAACATGTAATTTTTTAAAACAATCATTACTTTTCTAAAACTATCACTTTCATAATAAGACACTTTAATATTGAGTGAAAAAAAAAAGGATGCAATAACTAGAAAGGAAAACTGAACGATTAGCAATTCATCTGAAAAAATAGCTGATGATATACGAGTCCTTGGATTAGTTTCTTGTTTTGAGATTTATCCGATTTTTTTATCCTATACATTTTCTTTGTGTCATGAATATCCTGATTGCTGATACTATTTAATGTTAACAACTTCAGTAACTGTTTCTAATACTCCAGTATAAAAATAAAAGATTACAAATTTTTCCAAATACAATTTTATTTATCTATTTCTTTATTAAAACCTTATTTCATCACTGGCTAAATGGTTGAGTGTTAACAACATAATTTATCCTCTCTAGATAAGGCTATTGAAGATACTCTTAAAGTAGTTAAAATTTTCCATTATTTAGTAATGGTTTAACCTTTTCCTATATAGGGTCAGTTGATGTGACTGACCTTGTAACCAAAGTAACCATCAGTTTCCATACTATAAGTTTTAGTATATCTTCACAAAACTTGGAAAGCTTTCAGTAAGCATTACAAGTCTTTAATACACAAAAAATCATATTTTTAAATTGTTTCTACTAAAGATTTGTACATGAATGTATAGAGTCAAAGTGTTGACTGCTCCAAGTGCAGAGTGATTTTCATGTTAAGATTAAAAAATACTTTTCTTCATCAGAACATTTTCAAATTATAGTTGTAGAACCTCTAAAACCTCCAAAATTAATTTCAAATATTTTTTTTCAGTAAAACTTAATATTTTATCTATTATTTTTTCTACCCAAACTATATAAACTCAGTCAATTTGACCGACCTTGTAATGAACATAAAATAATTCTTTTGTATCTAAAATGACTGCAGATTGTAACAGAAAACTACAATTGTTCCAAATAGCTTAAGGTTCACAACAGTCTACACCTCTTTTTACTTAATTCTATTGCTTTATTGCACTTCGAACAGTGTACAACTAATAACCATGCCATATGAGTAGTAAACCATTCAGTGAACACATAGCTCAAGTTATCCTTTTAAATAACATAATGCAAAAGCTGCTAGTGGGCATACCTTGTGAAGAATTCTTACTATTTTTTTTTTTTTTTGCTGTCAGTTGTTGATGAAATTTAAGCCTACTTTTTGTTTTATATTATAAATGGTACTAATACACTAATTTTTATTTACTTAAATAATGCACCTAAGAACATTAAATAATATTACACAAAGAAACAATGTCCTATAACTATCATAACTTAACTGATTTTTTAACTATTGCATAAGAGCCTTAAAATAATTATTAAACCTGCTTGATCTTAACACTGTGAGAGAAACTTTCAAACTGAAGACAAAATAAAAATTATTCTGTACTGAAAACAGCATAAAATAATATGACATTGGACAGTTTCAAATGTTGCCTTTTTATTGGTTATAAATAATATACTGTAAAACATCACAGAGAACTATAGCCAATTTGTGAACGAGAGGATGTGACTGGTGGGCTTTTATGACTTTGTAAACAAATATGATTGAAGGCTATAAAAATTAGACTTTACCTTAGTAATATCCATATTATAATGAGTAATATTCATTAATTTTGATATTTTAGGAAGGGGTGGTAAATAAACTAGAGAAGAGAGAAGTCCTACAGGACAAATGTCCCAATTCTCACACTAGGGAAGGTTGAGAATTTTTTCAAAATATTTCCTTATAAAATTAACTTAAAACTTGAATAATATTAAAACTTTATTTATTAACTATGCTTTGATGACAAGTTTATTCATATACATTGATAATAATATAGTTTATTACATTTTGAATGTAACTCTCTAAAAGGTCATGACATGCATGCTTTGACCTATTCATAGCAAGTGTGTTAAAGAAAAGAGTCTACTAAATGCTTACAAAGAAAACAACATTTGCATTAATATTTTCACGAACCTAACCAAACTTACCCTTCTTGAAAAGATGGTGCACCCTCCTCTTGTCCTGGAGCATTAAGGTGATAGATACAAAAACTTTGCGATAGTAGACGCATGTCCACATAGTTGAAGAATGCTTGGAAGTTGGATATGTCTAAAAAAAAAAGATATGTATATATACCTTACACCTTCAAACTATTACATAAGCAGGTCCATTAGGTTAAACGTTTATCAAATAAATTCTCCTCTTTCATTATATTGCTTTCTGATAGCAAATCAACTTCAATGTATACAATAAACATCACATTAATTTTTTTTTATGCAAAGACATTTTATATTATTTGCGTAATTTCTTCATATTTATAATTTCAAAAAAGTACTGTTTTTGATTATTTTTATAATTATATTTTATGGTTTTTATAATGGACTAAAACCTAGTTTAGACCATTAGAGAAACCTCTCATTCTACATTATCAAGGTAGAATGGTGTAAAATAATAATAATACTAATATTTTGTACAAGTGTGGTGTATAAAAACTGAATTAACATTTCTCTATTTATTTATTTTGAAATTGTTTCAGTGGATTACCTGTCAATTCATAAAAGATCTATGAAATCTTAATAAACACTAATTACTATTAAAAATGAGATGGAGATTTAAAATTGAAAATAAAAACATTTGAATATCTCACAATAATGATGCAAGAAAAATGCAAAAATAAACAAAATGAGAAGTTTAAAAACGAAAAAATTAGAATTCATATTCAGAAGGCAGTACTGAATATTGTAGTTTATGAATGGAAAGGTAACCATTAAAAAGGAAATTATTTAGAAGCAACAAACACAATGCAGGACAAGTTTAATAGAAATATTAATATCAACATTGAATATGTTTAAACTATAAATAGCTTGATAAAGTTACTGAAAAACAAGAATAGAATACAAATTCTAGTCTCACCATTTTCTTGAAATGCACGTAACAGATATCCAAACACCTTTTATAATTTAAACAATATGATTCCTACGGCTATTTAAAAAAACACACTATGCAGAAAAGTACAACAGAAAATTTACTATTTGTTATTGTCAATGTTTCATAAATTAAGAAACGTAGTGAAGGCAGGGGTAAAATTCTGCCAGTACTCACCGGTATTGATTACCGAAACTTATTTAAGGTGATACTAGTACCAGGACTTATTTGAGCTACTTTTTCAGATGTGTGGGTGCTCCATTGTTCTGTCAGAAAGCATTTATTCATTGACACTCAGATTGTCATTTTTTACACATAATTTTCTTTTTCAAAAATAGGTCCACTTCACCCAGCTTTTTTGTGAGAATTTTACCCCAAATTGCAGGCATATATACATAACGTTTCTTACCAACTTTTAACTAGTACAGTGAACTCATACAGTTAAATGGAATTTTTCAAACTCTTAAGCTTAAGCATATATAATTCCAGTTATGTATAGTTGCTTGTTTATCTGGATCATTTCATGTTACCGTTATATTAAATTTATCATGTAAAAGTTGACACTTTCTTTAAAAAAAAACAGTCTCAATTAGTTATTTTATAATGAAATAACCAACAGTGACTCGAGTTTGGATTTGTTTTGGGAGTAATGATGCTATTCTGATAATGTGTAGCTCTCTCAGTTTTAGCACATTTTATGGGCAGTGAATATTAATTTTGCAGCAACAATAATAATTTGTTATATGCTTCATCCTTCTTTGAAGTTACTTTCATTAACAGTATTGGTTATTATATTTATCATAATCAATTTTACTATATTATCGTTGGTATAAATATTATTTCATAGCTTTTGATTAGTTTATGGATTTAGGACTAACCTAAATCTACTAAGCTGTCCAAACCATGTAATAATTTCACCACAGTGCAGACAAACAGTCTTTGTTAGAAATTTGATATATCTACTTTTATTTATTAGTTTTTATCATTTCTAATTTTATTATTTCACTATAATGATTATTCTACATAGTATTAATCTTATAAATTTTTCTTTCTAAAATTTGTTTATTTGCAGTTAAGCACAAAGCTACACAATGGGCTATCTGTGCTGTCCACCACAGCTATTGAAATCAAGTTTCTAGCAGTACAAACATCAAAAAAAATTGTTAAATTATAATAAATAATTAAAAACAATGTTTTTATTGTGGAAATATAAAACGTTGTTTTTAATTGTTCATTATAATTTAACAAATTTTAAACACAAGTGCCGGTAGTGTATATAATAAAGATTATTTCACATTATTAGTCTAGTTTATGGATTTATGACTAACACAAGGCTACAATGCAGGTGGAGTCAAGTATAACTTTGGCCATGGTGTGGTAGTTTTTACTTGGACATCGACCTAAAGAAGTCAAACTTTTACAACAGTGTAGACAGTACTGGCTAGAACATTTAATACACCTACTTTTATTTTTTATTATTTCTAATTTAGTTTTATGTTTATTTTATCATAATGAATACAATAAACCTAAGCCTCCTGGGCTTGCCAAACCAAGAGATACGAATTTATGGCCGAAAATATTGTTAACAGCAAGGGTACCCAAATGATGAAATAATGTGTTCTAATCATTATAAGTAACAGAATTTTAAAATCATATTTAATTGGGTACACTCATTTTCACAAGAATCAAAATAACACACTGTGTAACAAATTCGATTAACACATTTTCTAACAATTTCTGACTTCAGTGATTCAATATGACCAAATAAGGTATTTCATAACCCAAACTATTAAATCACCTGCCCATGCTCTAAATGTCTAATTACTATTAAATGAAAAAAGGCTCTTAAAAAATAGCAGAACTAAAGACAAGTGAACAGGGTAACATAAAATCTATAAGTTTGGGCATCAACTAATTACTATTAAATGAAAAAAGGCTCTCAAAAAAATAGCAGAACTAAAGACAAGTGAACAGGGTAACATAAAATCTGTAAGTTTGGGCATCAACTATTGTCTTTGTAAATTAGAACTATGGGTGTTTATGGGCCTACATGAACCAAGGGAAGACATACAACAACACATTGAAAAGTGCATTTCTTCTATTAGGTCATTAAGAAATTAATGTTGCTCTTTTAGATGAAAAAACCCAAACAACTTATATATATCA